CACGAAGTCCATGTTGTTCAAACGTCCAAGGGCCGCGATTGAGTAATTGGCTTCAAGGGCGGAAGCTCCTGGGTTCCTGAATCCGGCTCGATGAGGGAAGTTTCCTTGCTCAGTTGAGCCCTCAAACTCCTTAAAGTGGTCCGAGACGACACCCTTGTTCATTCCAAGACACTCCTAAACGTTGCCTAGGAGAGCCTGCATTGCGAGACTCCATTCATAAAAGCCCATAATTCAAAGAATAGTGCAAAGCAGCAGAAACTATGAAGGACCCCAGGAATCAACTGCCACAATTCGCACCCACATAGTATTCTTCTTTGATATGTTAAACTGAGAACAAGATGATTTGTCTACGATCATTGTGACCTGTTGTTTCAGGCATAAAAAGATGATCGATACGTACAGTAACAAAGAAGCAATGTAGTCGCGATGACTTGAATCTCATCACTGCCAGTTTGCATTTTATGCGACCAAATCTCCACACATCCAGCTCGAAACTGGTTGCCGAATGTTTTGCGGTGTATCCATGCGGTTATGTATTTTATGGAAAAGAAGTGTGCAGTTTTCATCGTTGTTGGTGTCTTACCATGTGATCAACGCGGGCGTTAGCAAGCAGGAAAGGCCACCAAATTTTTTTTCTTACTGGACAGGGCATTGTTATCATTGTAACGCACTGCGTTGTAGAAAGCCTTTTGATGCCATCATTGTATTATATAATATAATATTGTTACTGGTCTCATAATAAAACGATTCACTGTTTTTCTGTCCCGATGTTGTTGATCATCTCCTATTAGTAACCTGTTTACAAATAGTGTTTTATTTAGCCGGCCTGGAACGGTAGTAGCCCAGTCCTGACCAACTAGAGCTGAAAGCACTGTATTCTTCTTCATGTAACATGTGCAAACATATTGTTGAGTTGGAATTGCTTTATGTATAAATTATTACGTAAATGGCTTGGAAGGTGCAAGCATATGGGTCAGGTTCTCGTTTAGTTCAGCCAAATGCACGGTTCGCCGTTGCGATCCTCGAGCAGTAGGATCATGACGTTTCAGGACCAAATGGTACCGGAAGCCGACCAACAAGAACATTCTGGTCCATTATACCTCGGCCCATCCGATAAAAACAAAACAGGCGGTCATTAGAAATATGTTCAGAGTGGCTAACATGGTGTCGTCAGATCAACAGCTGAAAACAGAATCGAGGGATATGGCCCAGGGCATTGCGTTCTCTAATGGATATCCTTGCTCTGGAGCAGCGCAGCGGGGGTATTCCACAAGTCGGAGAACTCTCAATACAACAACACCTAACAAAGTTCCTTTCTGCTTACCGTTCATTTCCGAAGACCTAAGCAGGGCAGTCCGATCGTTATTGGTTCGATGTGATCTGCAGGACGATGTTAGGATTGTGGAAATACCCCCTGTAATCTTAAACAACAGCTGGTTCGCAACCGATCCTACGACACCTTATGTGGCACTCCTGACTGCGTGATCTGCCCCTTTGGCAAACCGGGTGACTGCATGAAGTCCGCAGTTATCTACTCTATACACTGCCAGAGCTGTGGGTGCGAGTATATAGGAGAAACAGGGCGCCCCCTTCGAGTACGGATCAAGGAACATCTGGAGGGTCTTAGGAGGTCACAAGCCCATACACCGCTAGGGGTTCACCGTAGTCAACATCATGGAGGCACGTCATTCGACGTAGCGGTGACCATCTTAGCGCAGGAAGTCGAGATCACGGCGCGCAAGACACTGGAGGCTTTTTGGATCACAGCCAAGGACCCACAAATGAATCGCAAGGAAGAGTGTGTGGTCATAACGCGTGAACTCGCGGCCTTTCTCGACCTCTGCAAGTTTTGACCCACCGAGAGGTCGAGGGAGGTTACTAGTAACTCTTACTCCACGCTTGAGAGCCTCTACAGGGTGGTCGTCCCCGCGTCACGCGGCTAAGATCAAGGTAAGCCAGAGTTCCGCCTTCGATCGATACCGTTGGGTGGTTTACTAGGTGTATGGAAATCGTCTTGAGTATTGTTGAAATGTTTGAGCGAGCAGGTCTCTAGATGTTTTTTGACCATTTCAGGCTCTGACGAAGGCGAAGACGCCGAAACGTAGGCCTTCAATAAAGTTATTCGATCTTGGAAGGCTAGAAGAAATATAAGATCATGACGTTGTTGATGGTGAATGACCTGCAAGAGCAGAAGAAAAGTGATCCGTTCGTTCAGAGTCCTCATTTATGGGTTTCGGCTCTTTGGTACAAGATCACCCCTTCCATGTGCGAGGTTAAAGGTTTCCGTAGGCATCTTGCCAATAATCGCTATCAAAGGTACGGTTGCATATGTGTACTCATATATCCATGCAGCATCACGGCCGCTTCATACCAATCCCTTCGCTTCATAATTTGCTTAGCAAATGAATCAATACGAGCGTCCGGATCGTCGTCCATTTGTGGGCGGGCGGGCGTCTGGGACGTTAAGTTCTGGCTTGATAGGGCCCTTATAAGGGCACTTTCCTTGGGGAAACCGCTATGCAGCGGCTGCCCAGGGCCACGGAATTCTATCCTGCCAGGAGTATAGATCAGAGTCGCCTTGGGGATTTATCGTACCAACTGCCTTTAAGGGATCCGCAGCTGCAATAGCGTGCCACTTTTTCTACAGGAGATGTGCAGAAACTGTTCTGAATAGTGGTGTGGTGCTTCTCGCTGTTGTTTCCATAGTCCGTTCGCGCTACCATCATTCTATCTTTCTCGTCGATATTGAGGTCCAGCAGCGAACCACACATTCAGAACTATAGAACACACAAAAAGTGAGAGGGCTCGGACAATACACTGCTCCACATAATGATAGTTCCACCCATAAATATTACAAAATCCCGTCTTGCATGACGGTTTTCAAAGCTCCTATAGAAAATGAGGTAATTATCAATACCATGCATGCAACACTAGAAACTAACTTGAAAGAACAAATTTTTTTTGTTCATTTTTTGAAAGTGATCACTCTGACAATTCCACAAAATGATAGTTCCACCTCATGTTTTGTCGCTGCGTCTCATTTTTGTTGGGTAAAACTGTCTCATCATTGTGACTTTGCCTTTTCTAGGCTATGGCAAGAGGACATTCATTATCGGACTGAAAAATGGAAAAAAGGACAGATAATCGCAAAGAAGACTCAAGGACTGTCGAACCGTCAAATCGCACGGGATTTGGGCCGCAGTCATCATGTGATCAACAATTTTGTCAAGCAACCTGCAGGATATGGAGTTAAGAAGGGTTCTGGGCGTCCTGAAGCTTGCCGTCTCAGAGGACTGTTAGGCGTGTCTTGAAGAAGTCTGAGTTCATTCTCAGGAGGAAAATGAGGAAGGCACCGTTTCTGACAGAAATGCATCGTGAAAAGCGAATCGACTTTGCTAGGAGATGTTGCCGAACCGATTGGAGTAAGGTTAGCTTATGGCAGCGGTGCCCTACTGCTTGTCTGTCTTATCTTTTCTGTTTTTTCTCTCTCGTGTTTTTGATGAAAAAATTCAACTGCGACGGACCAGAGGAAATCGATCCTACTGGCACGATCTTAGGAAAGAGAAGCTTCATTTTTCAGGCGGAACTTCAGAGGAGGTGGTATTATGGTCTGGGCTGCCATCACATCAACGGGACGTCTGAAGTTGTGTTTCGTTTCGAAGAAAATGAAGTCTCCCGATTATCTAAATGTCATGCGACGAGGTCTCCTCCCTTTCTGGCGTAGAAATCGGCAAGAAGACCTCGTTTTCGTGCATGATAATGCACCAGTTCATACCAGTCGAAGCTCGAGAGTTGGTTGAGTCGTCGTCAAATCGCTCTTTTGCTCTGGCCAGCATATAGCCCCGACTTAAACCCAATCGAGAATGTGTGGGGCTTCATGGTGCGTAAGATCTATGCGAACAATGCGTGATTCCACGATGTCCGTGAGCTTGAGAGTCAATCAGTGGTGCATGTCCATTTCCATGCCGACCAAAAACCATAAACCTCTATCCGAGCATGGACAACCGCATTTTCCAACTTATTCGGAGACCGGAGCTCCAATAGATTACTGAAGTAAGAATTTATTCGTTTTATTGCACACTTGTTAGATAAATCGAGTTTGGTGGAACTATCGTTTTGTAGAATTGTCAGAGTGACCACTTTTCAAAAAGTCAGTTTTTGGTGTTGGCATGCGAATTGGCATTGGTAATTACCACAATTCCTACTCGGAGTCATTTTCAACGTCGTGTGAGCTCGGTTAGAGCGCGGGAAGCATCGGGGCATTACTACTCTTCAGCCGTGTTCACGTGCCTTTTTGAGCTAAGAAATAGGCACGCACTGCGTGTTCATTTACCTCACATGCGGCAAGGACCGTCCTCGGAGGAGAGTGCACAGGGTTTCAACGTTACCACTTCAGAAGTCGCCCCTGAATAATGCACTTCTTTTTTCGTTTTAAGTTTAGCACGCGAAAGTTCACACTCCGAGCAGTGGTAGACCCCTGGTAATGTCCCCTCAACCGGCCGGTGGAGCGAAATGATCCAGATGGGAGCGAAATTGGAGCAGAATGATCCTTGGAATACTTTGCGTGGCAAGCACGGCAAATGCCACGGCATGGTGTAAACTGGTGCCTTATGGGAAGAAAACCCACCTTCTGCGGTGTCAGATCAGGCATGGAAGTCTATGCACTGGCTTGCCAGAGTTTATACATCAAATTTTGAGGATAGGGCTAATGTTTCCTAATACTGCGGAGACGGATGTGTTGCGGTTGGGAGACGAGCAAGAGAATCGTGAACTGCCATTTCGTCATGTGCGGCAACGGGCCGACGTTTCCTTAATTTGCACTACCCTTTCGACTGGAGCATCGGATTTCATGTAGACAAGGTATGGTAGACATTTGTCTGTTTTTGGTCATACATTGTCTATTCTCGACCAATACCACCTACAATTCGTCGATAGGGTGCGCCCCGTCACACGTGACGCCTACTGGCGCAGCGAATTAGGATTGTTACGTATCCGCTGCAGTTGCTGTTTCTGCCAAAAGTTCTTACTATATATAATTTGTGACGTCTACTGGTTGTGTATTTACTCGGAAAATCGATTTTCCCTGGAAAGCCAGTCGAAAAGCTCGGAGCAAGTTGAATATGGGTGGGTTACACGACAGATCATACATGCCTAGCTGAGATTAGTGTACGATGGGCTATGCGTATGCCGGGAATTGCTGATTGTAACGACGAAATTCATAATTCGGTGGCAAGACGGGAATCTTGGAAACATAATTTGGTGGCAGGGCGGCCTAGAATCAATGTGATTAGAGGTCAGCTGGGGCTGGCGAATGAGGCAGACGCGTCCTCACTTTGACATGGGAGTCTTAAATACTGAAATTCTAAGTCGGTTCCGGAACATCGTCAAAGCCCAAAAATTGGCAAAAGTGAGCAGGTGATT